TTAATTACAAAAATAAACTTTAAATAATTGTTTTCTACGTTCTACGTTTAACTTTCTAAAAGTATATTAATTATTTAAAAATGTTGACCACTTCGCAGGCATTGACGCATTTTTGCGGCAAAATGGAACTGGTTAATTATGTTCCTCATATTTCAGAACGTTAATTATGTAACAATGGCAGTACTAACACTATTTGTTTTAAAAAAGTAACTTTTATTGTGGACTGTATCCCTTAAATAGCAAATTGCTAAATTGCAAATTGGAAATTGCTAAATTACTATAAGTATTAATGGACTAGTAGTTAGCAAATTACAGTACTAGCTTAAAACTTAAAGGAAATTTGAACTTTGTCATGAGCTAGAATAATCACAGTAGGTACTGTAGGGAACACAGAACGACTAGTCTGCAGGTTCAGCTAGAACCATTTACAATTTGTTTGCATACATTGTAATTGTTGTGCACAAAAATGATTTTATGCACGCGTAGAGGATGGAGGCAGGATCTTTTTGCGGTGACAACAAGCCCGGCTATAGAAAAAACCCTCTCTGATGGAGTGCTGGTTGCAGGTATGCACAGGATACCCCTCGCCAAGGCAGATAGCCATGGAAACTGCCCCTGCATTTTTTTCCAATATTTCAGTATGTCTCCATATGGAACATATGCCAAGCTTGCCGTCGTCAAAAAATATTCTACCTCTTCGTTAATCCTATCGGACGAGGAAACCTGTGCGGAATGTTTCTGAGCAAGTAGCGCGACAGGAGATACAGGCTGGGCTGATACTTTCGAGCTGGGTTCGGTCACGGGCACGGTGATATCCTCTTTAATGACATCAGCTTCTCTCACATTTTCCTTCACTTGGGCAACCAGGAACTCAGCTTTCGTCATGAACCTATCTGAGAGATGGTTCTTCACCGACTTCAGGTTTTGGCAACGAGGATCCAGAAGTGCTGCCACGACGAGTAGATCCGTGACTGGAAACCTGTGGTCAAGCTGAGCACGCATTGAGTTCTTCATCTGTAGGATAAGCAGACTGTCTGACTCGCTATCCTCTAGACGCTCTTCCAGTTCTGCCCTCATGAGCAAAGCAACGTTCAGTGTCGCACTCTTCTCCGCCGACAAGACTTCCACAGCGGTGTGGAAGCTCTCCAGGAACTTGCCGAGGTCGTTCAGGAATTCCCACTCACTGGAAGTGAGCATCAGATTGGACTTCTCAATCCTTGCAAGGATTATGTTGATGCTGTTTCTATGGGGACCCATACTTTTGCACAGACGCAGCAGAGCGTGCCATCGGGTGACGACATCGGTCTTGAGAGTAGGAGCCTTCTTGCAGGCTGTTGCTGCACTACCTGCATGGGCAGGGACTTCCTCGTCGTCTCCCTCAAGTACAATGTCTTCCAACACCGTAAGAGGGTCACCATCCTCCATGTCCAACACGTCCGCCGATTCCATTATGTCAGTGAGGAGTTGTCGCTGCTGCTTGTCAAATTCTGCCTCCAGTTCGGGTGCACGGTACCGCACTGTCTTCACTATTTTCTTTGCCTTTTTAACAATCTCTTCCAATCTGTCTGTGCGTTTGAGCCCATCTGCTGTAATCAGATTGTGGACGCCATGGCCGAGGCACTTGTGATGTTTCATTTTCAATAGTTTGCAGGCGAGGACAACGTTTGAACCGGCATCGGTAACTGCAGTAATTTGTTTTCCTTGCAAACCGAAAGCTTGGAGAACGTCGTTTATCTCGTCGCTTATATTTTTGCCTGTTTTCTTCTCCATCATGAGCCAAGTTCGTAACGTGAGTT